TGATGATAAATCACTTAGAAGATACAAATAGAATTTATAAATCCTCTGGGACTCCATCAATGACCAAACCTAGTTAAGCAATACTGGCCAAAAAAAGAAGAAAGAAAAATAAACTGTAGGTATTGAAAATTGAAACAATAAAAGAATAGCAGAAACTCTCCCAAACCTCAAGAAAGAGAGGGTCATTCAGGGGGAGGAGGCTTACAGAACACCAAATAAGCAAGACTTGAGAAGAAACATACAACAGCAAGCCCATTAGAATAAGATTTCTCAATACAAACTCTAAATGCAAAGAGGGCAGGGAAGGGCATAATTTAACCCTTGATAGATCAATTGTCAACCTAGACTATGGTACCCACCAAAGCTATCCTTCATAATTGAGGGATAAATAAAAACCAGGTGTTGGTGGCTCATGCCTGTAATCCTAGCTACTCAGGAGGCTGAGGTCTGAGGATAAAGGTTTGAAGCCAGCCTGGGGAAGGACAATCTCTGAGACGCTTATTTCCAATTAACCACCAAACCCTGCCTCCCACAAAACTCAAGTTAGAAGCGGCACTGTGGCTCAAGTAGTAGAGTGCTAGCCTTGAGCAATGAAGCTCAGGGACAGCACCTGGGACCTGAGTTCAAGCTGCAGGACTGGAAGAAAAAGGAAGGAAAGAAGGAAGGAAGGAAGGGAGGGAGGGAGGGAGGGAGGATGGGAGGGAGGGAGGGAAAAAGCTCTGAAGGAACTAGGAATAGAAGGAACATCCTTGAACCTAATAAAGGCCATATATCACCAACTTATAGCCAATATCACATTAAATGACAAAAAAAACTCAAATAATTTTCACCTGAAGTCAAGAATGAAGTATGTCCATTCTCCCCATTGTATTATTTATTTATCTCTAATCAAGTGTATAAAGGGGTTTTAATTCAACGTGCCAGTTTGAGTCCAATGTATCTAGATCAATATTATCTTTTCCATTGGTTTTTTTTTCCATTTCTCCCTACCCGAACTATCCCTTAAGTTATCTGGTTCCATTTTCACTTTGAACATTGCATCTGTTTTTGCCTGCCTTTCCTCGCTCCATTCATTCCCTCCCCCCATTCATTCCCTCCCTGTCCCCTGACCCTCTTCTGACATCACATGGCCCACTTTGATTCAATATGGTACTAGGATTCTAGAGCAGTAAGGCAGGATAAAGAAAAAACTCAAAATCATCTTTATTTACATGTGTGGAGATATAACAGTGAACCCCCACTCATGTTAATTGATATAAGCCAATGCATTTTTAAAAATTATCCTATACTTAACAGGCCCTATAAGCTTTACCAAAACTCCCCCACAAAACCTCCTAGATCTGATAAAGACCCATGGAAATGTACCAGGAAATAAAATTAACATTCAAAAATCAGTAGCATTTCTATATGCCAACAATGAACAAGCTACAAAAGAAATCAGGAAAACAATTGCATTTATAATAGCTTCAAGCCAGGCGCTGGTGGCTCATGAACCAAGACTGACAAAAATAAATAAGCATAATAGCTTCAAAATAATAAAATATGTACATATTGACAATCAAGGAATTGAAAAACCTCTGCAATAAAAACTAAAATCTTTGAAGAAATTGGAAATAGGTACCGGAAATGGAAAGACCGCTCACACTCATAGGTTGGCAGAAATTACTATTGTGAAAATGGTTATATTATCAAATGCAATGTAATGGCATACCCATCAAATTCCAATGATTTATTGCAGAATTACAGAAATTAATCCAAAAGTTCATACGAAGTCATAAAAGACACTGAATGACAAAAGCAATTCTAAGTACAAATTGGAGGTATTACAAATTATACTACAGAGCTAATAGTAACAAAACCAGTTTGGCACTGGCACAAAATACCAACGAATGGAAGGCTAATAGATCAATGGAACAGTGTGAAAGACCTAGGAATAAAACAACACAACTACAACAAACTACTGTTTGACGAGGAGCCAAGAACATTCAAGTGAAGAAAAGACAGCCTCCTCAACAAAATGGTGCTGGGAACACTGAGCATCTACTTGCAGGACACTGAAACTGGACTTTTGTCTTTCATCCTGTACAAAAACCAACTCCAATTGAATCAAAGAACTCAAAGATCTAAAACTTTAAATGTATGGGAAAATATGGGAAACATCCTAGAGGTTAGACACAAGTCAAGTTTTTTTCAGATTAGGACTCCAATTTCCCAGAAAACAAGTACAAGAATGGGTAACTGGGAATATGTCAAATTAAAGACTTGATGAACAGCAAAAGAAACCATCATCAGAACCAAAAGACAACCCATGGAATGAAAGAAAATCTTCACCAACTATTCAACAAATAATGGGTTAATAGCCAGAGTATGCAAAGAACTCAGAAAATTAAACAGCAAGTAACAACTAATGTAATCAATAAATTTACAAACTAACAGTTCTCACAGAAGAAATATACATGGCTAATATAATGCCTAATAGAAAGATGAATGGCTAATAAAATATAAATGGCTAAATAATGATCAGCATCCTTAGCCATAAAGGAAATGCAAATCAAAACTACACTAAAATTGCATCTTACCCCAGTCAAAATGGTAGCCATTTAGAAAACAACCACAAATCTGTTGGTGATTCAGGGAAAAAAAAGAATTCTCATACAGTGTTAGGAATATCAACTAGTGCAACCATTATGTAAGTCAGTATAGAGGTTTCTCACAAGACTAAAAATAAATCTTCCTTATAGTCATGCCATACCACTATTGGGCATATATCTGAAGGAAGGTAAATCAATATACCAAAAGATATCTGCATGTTCATGTTTATTATAGCACAATGGATTAATGATGAAATCGGTTGAGGTACCAATCAAGAGGGCAATGGATAAAGAAAATATGAAATATATATATATATATTTATATATGTGTGTGTGCACATATACACATACATATGAATGTATATACATATATTCAAATGTGAACTAACTTTCTGGTAGTTTACACTGTTCATATGTATATATGTATGTATATTAGTCATATAATGTGAATAGTACACCACAATAAAGGAAAATGAAATCATATTGTTTGCAAGGAATTGGATGTAATTAGAGGTTGTCATATTAACAAGCCAAATGTATGTTTTCACTCATAGGTGAAAGGTAGATCTAAAAAATATACATGTTTGTGGACATGTACATATATATCCACATACATAATTATTTATATGGCTAAACTTACAACCTGAATCAAACTAAGGAATTAGGAGAATAAGAGAAAGAGGAAAAGTCAAAAGAAAGAGAGTGAATAATTTTATAATACATTGCAATTATGTATTTGAAAACAGCATAAAGAAATTTGATGTAAGATTTTTTCTAGTTTTGGTGTGTGTGTGTGTGTGTGTGTGTGTGTGTGTGTGTGTGCCAGTAGTGGGGCTTGAACTCAGATCCATAATTCTTGCTTGACTTTTTCCACACAACAGATGGTACTCTACCACTTGAATCACACCTCCACAGCTTTTTGCTGGTTATTGGAAATAAAAGTTTCACAGGCTTTTCTGCCCTGGTGCTTCTAACCTCAACTTTCAGAAGTTAGTCTCCTGAGTAGGTAGGATTACAGGCAAGAGCTAGTAGCACTCAGATTTCAAGGTAAGTTGCTGATCAATAGGGAAATGGTGAAAGAAAAAGAGAAATAAACTGTGTCTGTGGGTGAGGGTTGGGTAAACAAAGAGGATGAAGGAGTTTGAATATGGTTGAAGTAGATTATTTACAAATATGAAAAATAGAACAATGAAATCACTTGAAATTGTTTTGGGAATTGGTGTACAGGAATAGACACTGTGATAAAGAGGGCGAGATTGATTGGAATATATTACAGACATATGTGGAAATGTAACATTAAAAATTCTGTCCCCCCAAGTGTAAATAATGTAAATAAATAAGCTACTAAAAAGTCAGTTCACATCATTATTAATATCATCTTGCACCCAAATAAATTCAAATAGAATAAAAATTAGGTGAGGAAATGCCAATTATCTTTTTATGCTGTTATAAAAAATAGTTCTGTAGAAGTTTGTATTGCTGAATAAGAACCGTAGAAAAGCGTTAGCCATTGTCTTTATCGGACAACTCATTAGAAAGCATAATGACAATAATCCCAATCAAAGCAAAGAGTTAAATAAGAATTAATGAAGCTTATAGAAGCTAGGCTATAAACCTCTGATTGAGAGCAAGAGGACTGTAGTAGGGATGAGAGTGGAGGGTTTACAGTCCAAACTTCTAGGTGTGCGGTGAAGTGTGAAACACAATAGAAAGATTTCCTGCGTGGAGGGGGGAGGAAAATATCACGTATTGTTGCATATTGCTTCAATGTTGAAATAGTAATATTTCTGATATGTGGGGTTGAATAAAATTAATTCTTAAAATGGATTTGTTTTCGTGTGTGTGTGTGTGTGTGTGCCAGTTTTGGGTACTGAAGTCAGCCCCATGCTCTGGCTTGGCTTTTTGGCTCACAGTTAGGACTCTACCACTTGAGCTATGCGTGCAGTTGACAGCTTATTGGTAGTTTATTGGTGGCAAGATTCTCACAGAGTTTTTCCTGCGACGGCTAGGTTTGAACTGGGATCTCCCGACGTCAGCCTCAAGAGTAGGTTAAGATTACAGGCATGAGCCACAAGCACCCGACCGTTTTTACTTTAATGGGATGAAAGGGTGAACAATTTACAGTGCGCTAAGCAGGGTGTCAGGTGCAAGAGTCGAAGAGATTGTGAGCAAAGCAACCACAGTACGGGCCACGCCCACACACTCCAGAGGGTGGCGCCAAGCGCTGCGTGCGCTTCTGTGAGAGAAAGCAGAAGCTGCGCATGAGCAGTCTCACCACAACTGTGGCCGAGTTAGCCAATGGGATTCACCAGCTCTGTGGCGCGCGCCTCCTGAGTCCTGGCACCGCCCCTTCCCGTCCCAAGGTCCCGGACGCTACGGGTTGGTGCACGGGTGGGCGGGTTCTAGCGGCGCGGCCTGACGGGACTCGGCGGCGGGAGTCTGCGGGTTTTTTTTCCTCTCAGCAGTGGCCTGGGAGGCACGCACGCGGTGTAGCGCAAGATGGCGGATGCAGAAGGTAAGGGCTGTGGGAGGTTGAGGCGGGAGACCTGAGCTGCCCTGGTGATCTCCGGGGACAGCAGCGGGGAGGTGGCGTCGGTCGCGGCCCGCGGTTCCGCCCATTCCCTCCTGTGGGTAAGCTGTCGTCCCCGCGGGCCTCAGGCCAGCGCTGGGTGAGCCTCGGCCCCAGGTGGGAGAGCCCGCCGGGAGACTTGGCGTGGCGTCCTGGCCTCCCTCCGATGACTATCCGCTTAGGGCCCCGTGACCCCGTGGTGAACGGAGACATGGCAACCCGACCCCCATCAGTCCAGTTGCTGCCCTTAGCGCCGGGAAATGAGGGGAGCAACTCTGCAGGGAAAGTGTTGGGAAGAAAAGCTCCGGGATCCCGGAGCGGGTGTAGTACAAGGTTGCAGCCGCGTGGTCGTCTATGGAACTTTCCAGCCTGAGAGCGAGCGATCCTGGGCTTTTGGCCCTGTCGCAGCAACGTGGAGGAGAACCGGAAGGGAAGGGAAGGGAAGGCAACACGTGCGCCACACAGCCTGCACAGCCCCAGCCAGGCGGCCCATGTGCTCAGCCACACACGCTTGAGTTTTCTCTAGTAATGCTCAACTTAAAGCCCTCTTCTATCTGCCCTGCTTTTGGCCTTTACACTTCGCCTCGTTTGTTTTCAAAGCAAATTGCCCAATCTCATTTCTTTAGTGACTGTTTTGCCAAAGAAGCATAAGAAGAAAAAGGACCGGAAGCCATTACAAGAAGATGATGTAGCTGTGAGTAGAAATGGGTTTCACTAAGCTTTGATTTTTTTTTTTTTTTTGCGTCCAGTCGTGGGGCCTGAACTCTGGGCCTGGGC